AACCATTGCTTTACGCTAGTTTGGGTCTATCTATGGAATTGCTTGCTTCAGTAAAAAAAAAAAAAAAAAAAAAAAAAAAAAAAATGTTGTTGTAAACCTAATTTTAGGAACTCTTACTTCCCTTTCTTGATTTGTCTATCAATATATAAAATGTTTTCAGGCTCATTTCCATTAATTTTTAATCCTCTAGAGGTTAGAGACAAGGCAATAAAAAATAAATTGCTTGCAAACAGAATGTGTTCCATGCAATACGCTACGGCTTAAGAGGGATGAGTTCCGACGACTAAAATACCAATCACCAAATAGTTCACGCAAAAAAAAAAAAAAAAAAAAAAAAAAAAAAAAAAAAAAGGCTACTAAAATTGACAGAATCGCTTTTCCAGTATACTTTAGAAAAAGCAAGGGGAAGCCAGCTTTTATATTTAAAAGTTGGGGTTACTTTTCAAAGTACAAGCTTCAATACTTTCGCCGTAAATGATGTGGTTATGGGCTGCTGGGCACGTTTAATCAACAAGATGCTTGATATGGTCAAAACATCACTTATCATATGCACGCCATTTTTTTAAAGAAGAGGATTCTACCTGTATAAGTTGTTCTAGAGACCATCCTGTGTGCTCTAAATTATCTACACGTTTTCTTAAGCCTTGAGATAGGAAGAAAGGGAAACAGCCTTAAGTCCATAAATAATAGCAAGAAGAGAATTGAATAGAAAAAGCTAAGTCTCTCTGAATACCACTAAGAGCTCAGAAGATCATCATGATGACGTATTGGCAGTCTTTTTAGACTCCGGCATAAAACGCGGTTTAATTGAATTCCTTATCATTGATCAAAGGCAAAATGCAAAACCTCCTTGAAAAGATTTACACTAAATCTGGAAGCCATCGAATTACTAGAAAAATAAGGAAGCGAAGAATTGGAAGAAATTAGAGAAGAATTGGAAAATTAGGTTTCTATTTATACGTAAGATGCACCTCTACAATAAACAAGCTCCTTTTTTTCTACGTGTTCCAGCAAATCACATTTCTCTACGTGTTCAGTGATTTACGAATAACTATCTTCTTTCAAAAACGAAAAACTAATGTTTAGTTCTTACAGTCATGTGACTACTTAGAAGAATAAATGCACTTTAGTTTGATTGTATTTTTATTAATGGAGTTTAGTTTCATAGTACTTATTACTATTTATTGTATTTCTCTGCAATTCAGCTTATTTGGATATCAGTCCTTGGATATAAATTTATTGTTTGGATATCAACTGGGTATTTGGCTTATTTGGACATCAACTATTCTCCGCAGCATTTTGTTCTGTGGAGTCATTAGGTTATTTGGAAGCAGGAGACGTAAGACTTATGCAATGCCCTCCCCGGGATTCGAACTCCGGAGCTCTCGAACAAGCGTCTAGTGTGCTTCCAGTTACACCATGAAGGCATGCGGGAAGGAGGGAGAAAATATGGTTACGTGCGTACGGGTTCGTAATAGATTGAATGCACAAGTCCGATGATAGCTTAATAAAATTTACACTGATCAAAAGAAGTATATCTTTACTCTGGAAATTTCTCCAGAGATTTTCGTACGAGTGTTCGCAATATCTCGCAATATAATCAGTAGTTATACTTCAAATTACTTAAAAATGTTAAATACAACGCAGGACAAAGCACATCTAACGAGAAAGCTAATCTCAATTCTCGCGGAACTAAATAACTCTCAACAACAGTAACTAAGCAACTGAGCTGAGATGCTCTCTCTCTGGCTTTTTATAGTTTTCAACCGGTTACGAGAAATTCCTAGTACTTTCTGCTTCTCGAGAGTTTTGGAAAGCAGTAAAAGGGTGGGATTACACAACAACACAGTTGCCAATCACATTTATTCAATTTCGATACAAATGACCGAGAAATCCATTTACTCAAAGTTAAAGTCACGTGACCCTGTATTCTTACTTTTCCGGCATAACCTTCTCTTAAAATTTGTCTCGCGCTACATTGGACTGGGAAATACAACAATTTTAATTATAATTCTACTAGAATTACCGATCCAAATACAAAATTCATAACAATATCTTATAAGCTTTGCTGTAGAATATAAGTCCTTTTTTTATTCATTTTATTATTTTAAATTTTTAAATGCTTTATGAACTATTTTTCTATACTATATTAATGAAACTTTTGAAATAATTTAGACCCTTACTAGTTTATACGATAACTTCATTCTATATCTTTTTGGTATTTTAGTTTGAACTGAAGGTTACAGGCAAAAACATCACGGTAAAAACATCGCGGACGAAAACGCCAGGGAGAAAACAACGCAAGGATTGGATTGGATTGAATTATTATGGCAATGCACACGGGGGCTATCTGCCTAAAGGGAGGGATGCCATCATGGAGGACTTTCTAAGGTAAACTGGCTCGTATACACGTTACACATGTGGAAAACCACGAAAACGGCCATGCAGCCAGCCCGTTGGCGGGATTCGAACCTCGGACCGAGCTACCAGTGTTCAGCGTCTTTACCGCTCGGCCGCTGGTGGTCGAAAACAACGCAAGGTGAATGCGTGATCGTACGAAAACATACTGGGAGAAAAGAAAGCTAGGAAAAACTGCGCAGCTCTAAAATGTCGTAGTGTAAAACATCGCCGTCGAAAATATAAGGCTGCTCAAAAACATCGTCATAGAAAATATCGTGCTGAAAAAATAAAGCACCTAACAATTATCGCATCATTGAAGACATGAGTATTTCAGGTTTTAAAAGTCGTAAATGCAAATTCGCATAATGATTTTTGAGCGCAAGAAGAAATGGGGAATTTTTTTTACGGCTATATTTCATATGTTTGAATTAAGTAACAAACTTTGGCTGAGAAGACAAGAAGGAAACTTAAGCATTCAAAAACTGAAAATGAAGAGAAAACTAATGTCACATATAACAGTTAACAGAATTGAATTACACTAGAGCAAGTGGTCCTAGGCTGCTTTTGATATAATTCAGTAAATCTAAATTTCTATTGAATAGCTATCTCTTGTCATGTTTCGTCACAACTAACGAATCTACATCTAAACGATTAATTGTATGCTGTGTGAAAATGTTATTGAGACTTTAAGGAGACGAATAAGTTTAAATAAAACAAGATTTTATTTTTACTAAAAAAATGTCAGGTTAACAAATTGAAGGAAAATAATGTGAGAATTTGATAAAAGATTAAGCAATTTTACCATAGGAAACTTCATGCAATTACTCACTCTCTCTTTCCTAATATTTTTTAGTAAATTTTTCATGAAAAAATGCCCATACAACTTTATAAAAGTAATTAAATAATGATCTCTAGTAACAAAGTACATAAATTTAAGATTATATTAACGGCTATTCGTAGCACAAATTTTCTATTCATTTTCAATTTTTTGCTTTTTATTTCTTGTTTTCTGAATCAAAATTTGTTAGTTAAAATAAAAATATGAAAAATAATATTAAAAATACTTTTCACTCCTTCTTACGCGCACGAATCGGTATGAGAATATACATTTACAATTTTTTAAAGCTTGAAAAAACATCCATACAATGCTATTTTCATGCGACGGTACTTTCTAGGAAGATGTTTTAAAACCTGCGATATTTTTCAGTGTTTCATATCACGATGTTTTAGAACTGCGATCTTTACTGTGCTTGCTTTATTTTCTCCCACGATTTTTTTTTTTTTTTTTTTTTTTGTGTGTGTACGGCGACATTTTTCTCCCTGCGTTGTTTTCTCCCCGATATTTTTTCACGATGTTTCTTTCGGTCTTCGAATCGAAGTGCACGTACCTTTAAATCTTATCGCGCTGCGCAATATGTTTACGAATAATATAGTGCTATAGAAAATATTTTGTATTTCTTTTTATGAATCGGTGCCCACCAGCGGCCGAGCTGTAAAGTCGCTGAACACTGGTAGTTCGGTCCGAGGTTCGAATCCCACGAACGGGCTGGCTGCATGGGCGTTCGTGGTTTTCCCCATGGTAACGTGTTTCGTGATAACGTGTATACGAGCCAGCTCCCCTTAGAAAGTCCTCCACGAAGGCATCCCTCCCCTTAGGCAGATAGCCCTAATGAGCTTTGCCGTAATCTCAATAAACCAAACCAAACAATCTTATGAATAGTCCTATTAGCGGGCGAGTGGTGTGATACTTCTTTAACAATTTGAAGTAAACTCGAATGATGGAACACAACAGTAACTTTTATTTTACACTAAAAAAAATGGCGACATATAAACAAGAGAAGAAAAATATATAAACTTATTTAAAAAAAATAATTACATGCTTCGTGAGAGAAAATGCATGCGGCTCTCGAGCGCTGCGTTTCAATATTGCCAGTGACCTATCCATCTATTTCAAATGCACGAGAGATTAATAACGATATTAAAGCTGTTACAGTGGTTAACACGGTTGAAAATTGGCAGTTGATCCGGGTTCACAGCTAGATGAACAGACTGGCTACAGGATTACTTTTCGTGGATTTTCTCATTTGTAACGTGAATATGAGCCGGTTTTCCTTAGTAAACATTCCTCAAAAGTATTCTTCTCTTTGTAAATAGAGCCGTCTTGTACTTTGGTATATTTAAGCACCTTGTTAATCATGATTTTTATGAGTCTATGTTTTAGTACAGCAGTTTTAATAATAGAAAATATTCTAATTTTCTTCATGGGAATGGTAAGGTTTGATCTTAATTAATTTTTCTTTTCACGTTTGATAATTTATATTTTCTGTTTTGAATTTTAGCTTTGTTTAGTCAGCTTTATTTAGCTTTGTTCTTTATGTAAAATAATCACATGGGTAGTTAAAGTAAGATCTTCGGAGACTGTTTGAATACTTGAAAAAGTGCCTGGAATTTTGTTTACTTTACGACTTCTCGATTAACTCAATACATCAAGGTATGGTTTTTTAAAAATATTTGACAACTTGATCCTTGATTTCATCATACAGATATTGAAGCACTTACCTATTTATATATTCTTGAAAAATCAACAAAAAACTGCTTACCAGAAATACCAGCCTTTAACGTGAGCCACGGCACCGCAAAAGTGCTCATATATTTCAGTGAAGGAGCTAAAGTTTACCAAGATATCCAAGAAGATCTAAATTAGAAGGAAAAGAAAATTTCATTTTACATCAATATATAATTAAGTGTAGAGTTGATGATGACAATTAAATTATACAAGGCCGAAGACATAACATGAATCCATGCATTACAACTAGGCGCCTTTACATATCACATTCGAATGGTGCATAACAGTAAGAAATTCATAATCTAATCTCTAAAAGGGAAATCCACTAGAAGGCTGTTCCTGAAAGTTTTTTTGACGTCTTTAGGAAGAGTCGTGATATTTTGACGTCTTTAGGAAGAGTCGTGATTATTTGTTATAATTATTTTCTGAAGAATTTTATTTTTAGGAGGTCAGTATTCTTAATGATGAAGACACGCATATTAAAATATGAATGAAAAAATACTTTTACATAAATAATGAAAAATGTACTTTTTTGTATTTTTTTAAAAAATACACGCTAGTTTTTACTGGATATTCAAAGTACAGTTATGAGTTAACATAATAGCGCTCATATTAAAGGATATGATCTCAACCTTAAGAGTTGGTCTCGATTGTACGAGGGCATTCTAAGTCTCAGGGCTCTGTAAGCGACTAAATATCGAATGTTTTCTAAAATCTATAAATTTTTTAAAATTACCAAATGCTGAAAATATCTGTTATGGATTCAATTCTAATTTTTGAAAGGGAGAGCAAACCTTAAAAATGCTGAAATTTTTTGGGATCTAATTTGATTTTTATGACAAGGTTTTTCATCTACTTTATGCAGTTATAACTTGTTTAAATTATCTTAAAATATGATGTCTGATTAATTTCAAATAAAAGCCATACATTTATTATTCATATTTTTATAAATAAATTTGCATGTGAATCATTCAGCTTTCAGTTTTACATCTCAAATATGTCATAAATTTCTTCTTTTAGCTCAAAGCATATAAATTCATCAAAAGTATCAATTCAAAAAAAAAAAAAAAAAAAAAAAAAAAAAAAAAAAAAAAAAGAACTTAATTGTACATATTTGCAATATGTACATAAAACATTAATTGTAAATATATTAAATTCTGAGTTCTTTTTGATACTAGACCTTGTAGAGTTATTAGGTTATATCGATGCTGGAACGTGAAAAAGGCGCAATGTCCTCGTCAGAATTCGAACTCCCAACTTCCCGAAAATGCCTCAAGCGTGCTTTCCAGTAACACTACGAAGGCATGCGGAAAAGAGAAAAAATACATTATATGCTCCCCCTTTTATAGGGCGACTGCGGATAAGGAGATCCAGTCGCCGAATCCATATTGTGACGAATTATCGCCCACCATCTTTTAATTCGGAGCCAGAGTCTTTTAGAAATTTTTAAAGTCAGGAAACTAAAGAAAGCAGCATTGTCCTCGCCGGGATTAGAACACCGGACTTCCCAAATAGGCAGAGAGCTTGCTTCCAGTTACACCATGACACGAAAGCAATCGGAAGGGAGGAAGAAAAATAGTTCATCAGCAGGTTTCCTTTGACGAATTTTCAATTCTCTGCTGGAAGGCTACAGAGGATTTCCTGCAGTGTGAAGTTAAAGTTCTTCGAGTAAGGCAATGAGGCTTTTAAGTCTCCTGGGCGCAATCGTTGGCTATTCCCAGGCAAGCTGCTTGGACGGCGGTAGCGGATTACAGATTGCCATTTCTCTTAACAGAGAGGAAAGAGGCTGTTAGGCACAGTCATAACCTTGCCCTTGGGCAGAGATATAATTACAAGAAAAAGAATCTGTTTTCCACCGTCAGGGCTGTTAGGTGTACCAGAATACGTCTCCTGGCTTGCCATTGGTTCAGTATCTTCAGAGCATTCCTGATGTTCACGAAAGGCCTGTGAAAATTTCCTTGGGAGTTTCCTTGGCACGTGATCCGTTATAATATACACAGTAGCTAGTTCTGTGCAGAGCTGAACTAATTGACATAGAGCTGTACAGAGCAATGAGACACATACCTTGAACTGAGGGGTTACATGATATAAAAGTGAAAAAACATATAAGATGGTGCGCATTGAATTTATCAACTTTAAAAAATAGAAAGATTGTGAGTGCTTGTGCTAACTTTAAGTGATTGCGAAATAACGGCATAGTCGTAACTACACCTTGAAAATAATATTCTCTACATGTCTTCCTTTTGCTTGGGTGTATTGTTCGAGGTGATACGGGAAGGCTTCCATTATGAGTCTCAACATGTCCTATGGAATATTATCGGAGTATATGAAGATAACGATAGCAAACTTTGCTTACCTTTTATTCGTGTGTCCAGCAGCGCAAATTAAATCTCCGAAATAAAATTTTATAGTGAAGGATGTTTCATGATGTATCCATTAGTAATAGGAATGAGTATTTATAAACCAATCACATTTATTCAGTTTTGACTAAAGTGAAAAAAGCGACGGATTCAAGATTTATATAAGCACAGAAGAGAGAGAGAGAGTAATAATAATAAAAAAAGATCGTTGGCTGTCGCTTTCACCGTTTTTAAAGTAACTATCACTGTTAACATAGCATTGGCTCGAAAATGTACTGCATACGATAGATGAGGGGGGGCACAACTGTTTTTTTCGAGGGAAAAAAAAAAGAAAAGCTTGGCGTCACTTGAACTATATCTGTGGAGAAAAGGAATACTTAATAGGTACGAGTCGAATTTTTTAAATATATATGGTTAGCAGTTAACTTAATTATATATTTAGTTTCATTTGTATTTATTTAGTTATCAGCTAATAACTTAAAGTTTTTATCACATAGTTTCAATTAACTGATCTTTAGAATAAGCTAATCAGTTATTAGTTAAGGCATAATGTTATACTGCGCGTTTATAATTCAATTTCTAAAATGCCTTTAAGTAATTGTTTTTTTTTTAAAATTTAATCATGTCAATTTCTATGGCAAGAAATTTAAAAGAAGTTAAAGTTCTTCAAGCCTGTTCAGGGTAAAAAATTAATAAAAAATTCAGTTTGAAAATTTCAGATTGCAATTTAACACCTCAAAGAGTGTAACTCCAAAGTTGAAATAAATTAAAAAAAAGTTTAAAAAATTAAAAAAAATATACAAATGAAAATAATGGCGGTATAATTTTAGTATGCAGGTTTCACTTTAACATTTGAAACAGTTTCAAGATAAGGAATTATGATAGGCCTGTTCTTTTCAGATTAACCTTCAAATTAAAGTTATAATGCATAAAATCTTATATTTAAAATAATCTGTTTGAAATGATAAGAAGATCTTGCTATGACGTTACTTTTTTGTACATATATGCCACATGGAGCCATGTTCATTTATTATGAAGAAAAAACACAATTGTTTAAGACATAGCTTTGATTTTACAGGCTTAGGCCAAAAAACGTGTTTTAATCAGGAAGCATTTAGTGCATTTTACAGAGGAAATCTTCAAGTTTACCAGATTCCTTCTTTAATTTATTTCCGTGACATCAGTATTACGTGAGCGTTCTTGATGTCAGTCGAGCATTGTGGCCACTAATCAAATAGAAAAACCTTTTGTGCATTTGAATACGCAAAAACGAATTTTATTACTAATATTAACTAAAATAGCATGCCGAAAAACAAATTTTGGAGGTTTTGGAAAATTTCTCTCTGCGCATGATACAGATATTAAGAAAAAATAAACGTATAAATCATCTATTGCCCTACATAGCGGTCAGAAAACCATACCTTCAATTTTTCTATAACCAAAATTATGCAAATTAAATTTTTATTACTATACAAATTATATTTTTTGTAGGCTTTCCACATTTATAAAATACTTTTAATTCTAGTTAATGATCTCAATTCTAATTAGCATTTATCTTCAGCTTTTGAAGAAGTTATTTCATATTTGTTTTCACTTTTACTGTTAGTTGGATTACTATAAAAGAGGGTTACAACAGCTTGGTTTTCTGTATATTATTGTTCATTGTTATGCATTTATGTCTATTGTTTTCCTGTCTATTGTTATACATTTATGTCTACTATTATTAATATTTATTATTATTTTATATTATAAGTCTATTGTAAGCAGAGGCTTATTCTCCATTTTCACTCTTGCAGCCAAAGGAAAAGGAAACCTTTGAAATTAGTCCTAAAAATCTACATAATTTACCCTGATTCTCATTGCTTTAGTATATCCAGCATATTTTAGTACTGTTGTAAGGCATCCTTTTAGAAAATGGTTTGGTAGGCCTTCATTTAAAAGACCAAAACATGGTTTTGACATGTTGACTGCCAAAAAAATCAGGATTTAACACCCTGTAGGGATATATAAAGGACAAAATTGCTTCCTTGTTTCCTATAACAATGCGATTTTTGACATTGACATGCTGAGATGTGTTTGGGAGGAACTTCATTATCGGTCAAACGTTGAAGTTATTTGTTTCTTTTAAGTTAGTTTTGTGTTTCACTAAATTCCTTTCGGGCCAGAAAGATTAACTTCAAATATTTACCTCAGGTGGCAATACTTTGCGTTTTGTTAATCAGCGAACTGAAAACACTAAACAACTCGAAGAGTTTTTTTTTATGTGCGTAACAATAACACTATATTATTTAGGGTCAGTTGGGCTATAAATGAAATAAATTAGGTAAAATCTGAAAATAACTAATATAACCCTTAGAAAACCGAAGCCTAATCTGTATGCTTAAAATACCGAAACGCCCGTTTCCGTCCATTTCATCCCCTCAACGTCTATTAACGCAGAAGGAGGTGTGAAGGTTTCAAATGACATCCTTTCTACTTTTTAACAAAGAAGCTTCCATTAGCCTTTCGGGGCAAGCTATATGCAATAAAATGATGCAATGCATTTGGGAAAACAGCACCTGTTACTGCATACTTTAGGGGAGGGAAGAAAACAACTTCACAATCTCGGCCGTTTCGGGAAGTTGTGATCGTTTGAATGAAAGGCTCTCTCTGGCGTTTCTGTCTTCAAAGGATTCAATAAGTATTTCTTTATAAATGTTCTCAGCTAAGAAAATTGACTAATGGCTGGTTAAGTATGTACTTCAACCAAGATATATAAATTTTTCTAAT